CTGTTTTTTTTTTTTTTTGTTTTTTTTTTTTTAAATGGTATTAATTTTGTCGTCTTTTACTTTGAGACAAAACGTACATGTGAACCAGGAGTCACTGCCCCCCCACCCCCCACCACTCCCACCAGCCACCCCACCCCCACAAAGTCCCTTTTTTTTGAATGCATGTCGTGCGTGTCTGTGGAAATGCACCTGGATGTGTCTTCGCTATTATCTCTGTGTTTAATTTAAGACTACAAGCGGGATCACGGTACATCCCACCCTGCAGCCCCTCCCCCTCAGGTTGTGTATGTAAAAGGGGGAGGGAAGGATAGGACCATTTTCTCGTGTCGGTGTCACTGGATTCCAAAAAGTACAATAAAGGCATCTCATAATTAATCCGCTCTCTCCGCGTGTTGTGTCTCCATCATGCACCCAGACACGGCCACTAACTGCACCCATCACGTGCGAACACTAGGTGGCCCACTGACAACAGGAAGCTGCACACTTCCCCGCTGCACCGTCCCCCTTCAGTCATTGTGATGTTGTAGCTGCAACATGGTTGAAGTTCCAGCCGTTTATTCCCCCGATGTATGTCAGAGCTGTTCAGATATTTAATGTGATCCAAAGTGCATCCGAACACTGATCCGGTTCATTTATGATATTGAGGTTTCAATAGACCACGATGACTGGACGCAACATGAATCAGTGGTAAACAGAGAAATCTGCTGCATTTGCAAGAAACAAACATTTTTCAGAGTCGGATGAAGAGTGTAAAAACACTGATTCCTCACTGGGCTTCTGATCTTCCTCGTTGACCCTGACACGCCCACATCCTGCCTTTCCTCATGATTTTTTTTTTTTTATCGCCAAGGGTCACATGCCCCAACACCTATACAAACACGAGGGGTTATATCTGCCATGAATCTGCTGTGCGGGCTGAGCTTCAGAGGGAACACCCCCCCCCATGCATGATTCTCCCTGCAGACACATTTTGCAGTGTGAGTGTGTGTTTGTACAGTTGTGGTTGCCATTATTGTTTCACCCATAAATGTTTTATATTTAGATCCTACACTCAGAAAAACATTTCTCTCCTTTTATCATTTCAGCCTCTTTCAACACAGCGTCAGTCTTATCTTCTCTTCCAGGACCAAGGTCATGGATAGATGGATGCTTTGTTCACTCCCTAGGGGAAATTCATGTGTCCATTAGCTCATTGTTGATAATAAATAAACAATAATAATTAAATGAGTCCACTTCCTTTGGCTGAGCTGTTGTATAGCCTTGTGGCAGTGGGAACAGAGGATCTCCTGAACCTCTCTGTTCTGCAGAGCAGTGAGATGAGAAAGAGAGATGACTGCAAATATAACATTTCCCAAAGAAAGAGGTTGTTTGCTGAGCTACACTCCCTCTCCACGAGCCACAATGACGGGCGGACAATCCAGAAACGTGTCCCCGCGCTGACCGGCCGGTGATGGATAGCAGAAAATTCTGTCTGAAATATTTTTTAGAGGCAGAAATCTTTTTCTTTCTTTGTCCTGTGATGATTCTGCTGCAGGAGCGAGACTCCCTCACTCCCACAAAGACAAGAAAAACAAGTTCTCCCTGTCTTGCCGTTCGGTGTTTGGTGGACAGAAGCCAAAAACGGGCTTAACTGCATCTGGAGGAACCTGATTTGACCTTCAGTGGAAGACAGAGACAGTTTATCTGCTGCAGCCAACACAGTGTTTTGTCAGGAGTATGAGCAGCGCTGTGGAGGAATACTGGATACTGGAAGAACCAGAAACTGTTTACATAGGCTGAGGAAGACAGGTTGACATGGTGCATAATGAAAGAGAAACTGCTGTCTGCAGAATAAAAGAAAGTTAACCTCACCTGCACTCCAGTTTCTCCTGATGCAGTTTGACCTAACTGTTCAATCAGCAATTCATAACGGGGGGAGAGAGAGAGAGAGGAGGAGGAGGAGGAGGAGGACACAGGGGCTCACAGTGATCAGAGAACATCTCATCGGGAAGTCAGAGGTCGACTCTGACACAGTTTAGAAAACTTTTTCGTGCCCAAAGGACCCAGTTCTAAATAGAGGCCTGAAAATTCCTTGTCAGATCTTATTAAATGCCCGATGTACGGCGGGGTGAGAGGTGGGCGGGTTCACGCTCTGAAGATGTGTCGTGTTCACTGCAGGACTTTGGTGTTGAATCGACTGTTCGGATGTGAAGAATTATTCTGATGGATTGGCATTCTCATTATAATTTGATCAGTGTTTCTTTCTCGTGTGCTGATAAATGTGACGTCAGTGTAGCTGAGGGGAAATGAGGATATTTGTGTGTAACAGTGGTGGAAAGTAACTGAGTACATATGGTCGAGAATCCTACTTATATATCTGTAGAAGTGAATCATATTTTATAACCTGATCATATGTTTCTCTATAATGTGGAGGAGCAGAAATATGAAGTAACAGAAAGTGGAAATATCATGTAACGTACAATTATACTTCTAGTATAAAGTATTTTTACATAAAAATCATGTCATGACCTTATGAAATACAGTAAACTGTTAAAGATTGAATCAACCTTTTTCTTAGACGAAACACACCCCACGTGTTCATGACACAGATCATCGAGTATTTCACAGAAAAAGAAAAGATAAGAGAAAACAGATTTACGCTTTACTCCATCATCTCGTGACCCCCCCTCAGACTGAACTCCCTAAAACTACCAGCAGCTACAACAGTGAAATGCATCAGTGTAAACAGTCAGGTGATGTAATAATATAAGGTAATGTAATATATATTCATAGATCAGGCTCAGCAGCCGTTTTCTGCAGAACAAGAACTTTTCATTTTGACACTTTAAGTACATTTTGCTGATAAAACTTCTGCACTTCTTTTACTTGTTGTGGCATATTTTTACATTTTAACATTAACTGAATAACGTGTGCAGCATGTCTGTGTCACATACACTCAGTCTCTACATGTCCTTCATCTTGTGCCCCCCCCCCCCCCCCCCCCTCTACAGTGACAGCTACAGTCCTGGTGAAGCAGATGTGTGGAAACAGGTGAGCAGACTCTGTAATTACTAACACACACACACACACACACACACACACAGACGCAGTGTTTTGTTTTCACTGTGAGGATCCCTCACGTGTTCAGTTCAGCTCAGGCTGGACTTGTGTGTTTCATATGTTTCTTTGAAATGAAGGTCACACATGATAAAATGGACTTGGTCAATAAAAGCTATAGAAGCGAAGGGGTCAGTGTATTTACATATCACTGCCACCAACTTGATATTTCCCCTAAAGTGATTTACCTTCTTGTTTTTTGTTTTTTTAACTCAGTGTCGACGCTGCAGTCTGGACAACATCTGGATCTCCGCTCTCCGTTCTCTGCTCTCCGCTCGGGTCAAGGCTGCTGTTTTTAAGGTTTTATCTCTTTACATGAGCTTTATCTGCACCTCTGATGTAAATCTCATTGTAAACTATCACAAGAGCTGAGACTTTGAACCTCAAATAACATGAATGTTTGTTTTCTTCTGAGAGGTGACAAACCTCATTTCAGGAAGTGGTGATATGAAGATGAAAGCTGGTGGTTATGGCTTTACAGCCTGTGTTTAGATTTTAATAGGTTTCATTTTAGTTTTACTCACACGCTCATGTGACCTGGTCTGTTCACCTTCTATCAGTATTTTAGTTCAGTAAAATGAATGAAATCAACATCACATGTATCTGGATGTGATAATGATGTGAAGCTCTGTGTGAACCACATGAGCAGCGCCGCTTTGTGTTGACTGGGTTTGCTGGTTTTATTTAAATATTGAACGTCTGTCGACTTGTCACCGGCCACATCTGGGGACAGATTTTGGACTTCAAACCAGCTGACTGGGGACATCTTGTTTACATGAGGGAACAGGTGGTTTTCTAACAGTTGAATTCACCATGAGACAAACTGATTGTCGTAATAAGGGGTGAGGTTAAGACGTTAGAGCCGTCAGTAGAGGTGTGAGAGGGGTCAAACAGGTCTGTCTCTAAATATGGCTCAATACTTACCTTCATTTTTACATTTTCAGCCACAGATGTTTGGATCTTTTTGTTGGCAATAATGTATACCATAATCACTATATATAATAAACAGTATCACCAGACTTATCCTTTAAATTTAAAACAGTTTGGGTTCCTACCATGGCGCGTTAATGGCACTGTTAGAAAATAAAAATCAGAATTTTTGCAAATTAAGTCGTAATTTTATGAAGGGAAAGAGTTTGAATCATTTCTAGAAAAAAATGTTGGAATATTTCAACAACAAAGAATATTTTGAAGAATAAAAGTGACACAGTTTCTAGAAAGAAGTTATAATATTGTGAGAAAAAAGTCAATATTTTAAGAAAATTAAGTAAATAGTTTTTTTTTGTTTGAAAAAAGTGATAATACTGTGTAAAAAAAAGGTGTTGAGAACCAGTGTTGTTATATATATATGTATGTTATGGATCAATTAGATTAAATGTGTGTGTTCATAACTCTATAATAAGTTTCTTACAGTAATTTGAGCTCATCAACATCCTTCATTTAGCACGTAAAACCTGAAATATTACGACGCTTTTATTTCATTTTATTTGTAAACACACTTAAAACCTTTTCTCTGAATATTCTCCATATCTCAGATTATTTTGGGAGCGCCTGATAAAATCTCCTCCAGGTCGCCTTGACTCGTGGCTACGCCCCTGTCAGGTGTGCAGGTGAGGTCAGAGTTCGCCTCCAGGGAATGAAACCAAGCTAATGCATACGTCCACACACTACACGTGCATGTATGCGCGTCCCTCGTGTCTCTCTGAAAGGGTTAAACTCATAGTAAAATCCATCTCCTCAGAGCTCCGCCTCCCAATTGTTGAGGCTGTGCGCCTCAGAAATCACACCACTCCAGATCCCGCCTTCCCCCTCCTGGGCCCCTCTCGGCCCCACCCACCCCTGGACCACATTGAAATGGGTCTGATGTTGTTGTCAAACATTACAGTGTGCAGAGCATCCCTCCTCAGACCTTCCAGCAGGAGCATCTCTAACGCAGCAGAGCGCAAGGAGGCGACGGCCAGAGCCTCTGCTACTACAGGTGTGGTGACAGTAACACACATCAGACCAAACAGGCTTCCAGTGTTCATGCATCTCCCAGTGCGTCTGCAAAACATGGGACTGCCGTCTCTGCTGCTTCTCCTCTGCTCCCTCCTTCACACAAGTAAGTTCAAATTTCCTATTTTCATTTAATCGTTAATTAGCTCCATTTCTTTTCTTTTTTTTTGGTCTTGACATCTGCATCAAACACGTGCAAAATAACCCCGTGCTTCAGCCTGATGTTTGATAAAAACAAACAAACAAACAAACAAAAAAAGTATATTTATATAACACTAGGATATAATTGAGGTTTGGGTCGTGCGGGTTTAAATTGCCCACTCCTCTGACAGCACCGGATGCAAGGTGATGGGGGGAGGGCGCAGTTATTCACAGAATGTAGGTCAAATCTCTCCCACTCTCCCTTTTCTCTCTCACAATGAAACCTCGAGGGGGGAAAAAAAAGATGTTGCACGTCCTCTCCACCTCAGACTTTACCACAGCTGAACAGTTAAAGTCCTCCGTTTGTTTTTTCTATCTTTTATCTTTTTTTTGTTGTTGTTTATTTTTATGCGGTTGTTTTTTTAATCGGTTTATCCGTTTTTCTTCTGACCGGCTTTTTGAATGAAGCTGCGCGTTTTGTGCTTTTCATTTACTGGCGCTCAGCTCACAGCAGGTTCAAGCAGCCAATGAGGTCTGAGCAGTGTGTGTGTGTGTGTGTGCGTGCGCGTGTTTCTTTTTTGAAGCTGTTGCCATTCATAATGTGGGAAAAGGCGCTACTTGTATTTAAATCACAGTAGAAATTAAATCACCGTAAAAAAACAACAAAAGAAAACCATCATGAGAGCATTTGGATGAATTTGAGTTTGACCAGTATTACTGATATTCTTCCAACATGATGCAATATCCAGCCTGTTTGCAGGAGCCCCCCTCCACACCAGCCCGCCCCCCTCACTCACGCGGTCCTTGCTTACCTGAAACGCCCCATACTGTGGAAATGAATGGACACCCTCTAACTCATCCTCCAACACAAACACTGACATTGTCTTGAGGCAGCATTCCTGTGGTTTTGGTTGTACGCTCGGAGACGTGAAGTCACTGCCAGACCAGTTCCCTGTGTGCCGGTTCTGGGAAACGCTGTGTGGCGAAACATGTTGGGGCTGGTTGTCACCTGGCCACATTTCCACACCAGTCACAGAGGTGTGTGTCATTTCTGTCCCCCCACCCCCCCGTGTTGCGAAATACTCGTCTCACACTCGTGTTTGGACAGGAGAGTTTTTTTATTTTTGTCACCTTGAGGAGAAATCCATCATCTAATGGTAGTGGTGTAACAAAGGAGATTTCATTTTCAAATCATTTAAAAGAATAATCAATGAAACACAGCAGACGTATGAGAATAGCCAACAAACACATGTAGTTATCTCCCAGCACGGAGTTTTACTGTGATCAATAATGCTGCCATTCAGCCCAGTTTGTCTTACAAAGTCTGGACTTTAAGCCCGTTGAGTAAATAGCTGCGTGAACTTGGGATTTGTGTAACGTGTCCTCAGTTTCAGGGAATGAGAGCTGATCTATAAAGCGAGAAACTCCACCGTGTGTTTTTCTTCTGTATTAAGCACCAGGATATCCTCTTTGATAAAAACACGTTTGTCAACATGAAACTCTTCGTTATCTTTATGGCCGGGGCGACAATGCACAGCCTTTTCACGGGAAGTCATAAGGAAGCAACAGCCTCTCCTTGTTTGACTGCATCTAAAGCAAAAAGCATGACTTCTAGCACCAGATGTTTGACTTCACCCACAAGCTGAAGTATTGTTTACTGTGCTGGAGCACGTGCACGGATACATCATGTATGATTTATCTTTTTTTTTTTTTCCAGCTTGTAGCTCACAAACTCAGGAAAATTTAAATAGTCAAACGTAAATATTTAATTTCAAACATAAAGTTGCTGTGAAGATGCTAAATGCGCCTAAGCTTCTGGTGCTGCTACGCCTCCCTCCGGGCCCCTGTCAGAAACAGGTGGCCATGCGAGGTTTTGAGGCCCCGGGGCCACAGGGAAGAATGGCCTTGAGTACCTTCTCATCAAGTGCTGTCTGTCTGATGTACAGTCTAATTGGTTCTTCCAGTTCAGTGGCTTCATCGGGTCCATTAAAAGAAGGGGGTTGGGAGGGCGACTCTGTGTCTTCAGTGGTTTTGCTGGCAGCGACCTTAACTGGTGGAAAATGGGATTTTTATTGTGGTTATGAACTTGTCGTATCAGCAGCTCTCTGCTGATAGTGATAAATGCAGGTTGGACCGCAGTACCTCTGTTTGACCTGTAGTTTAACTATTTATTTGCCCTATTTAAACACATAGAAACATGCACATGTGTGTTCATGTGTGTGTCATGCCAGATTACATACCTCTCGGCCCCTCGCTCCTCTGGCAGCAAATTTATCACCATCTCTGCCTTTGAAGAAGACATAGTCCCTCCCATACTGTAATGAAACCCAACTGGAGATGCCAAAACATTTCTCTGAGTAACATCATCCCTGAAGAGAAGGTATAAGGCTAACTTTGGTCCCGACTGAAATATCTTAACAACTAGAGGATGGATTTCCATGACATTTCATTCAGACATTCACTGTCCCCAGAGGATGATCCCAATTTTCCTCTAGTGCCACCGGCAGGTTGACATTTGAGTGCTGCTACAGACATTCATGGCTGCCCCCCCCCCCTCCCCCCTCTCTGGATTAATTGTAATAACATTTATGATCATTTAACTTTTCCTTCATCATCAGCTCATCAGCTGTACTTTGTGCTTACTGCTAAATAACAAACATTAGCCATGTCATGATGTACATGGATAAATAAGAGCAGCTTGTTTGTAAGTTATGTTAAAAGAATCCAAGTCTGAGATTGTAGATGTATGCAAGAACTGATGTTTTCAACCTCCAATAGTGGGAGCAAAAATATTAATCAAAATTGGATCACAAAAAATAACAAATAAACAAGCGTCAGCATGCTAACATGCTAAACCATTACGGTGAACATGGTAAACATTATATCTGCAAAACGCCAGCATGTTAGCATTGTCTGTGTGAGCCTCTTGCCATGTTAGCATTAGCATTTAGCTCAGAGCAATGCTGCGAGTGTGACTTCACTTCTTTTCATTCGCAGCCATGCATGTGTTCATGAAGAGTCTTCCTGTATTGGTTCCTGGGAGTTTGAGAACTAAAATATCTGTATATATATATCTTTCTAATATGCTTTTATCTGAAGTGTGTGTGTTTATATCTGTCTGTCACAGATGCATTTACCACATGCGGAACAAAGCAGTTCGAGTGCGGGAACGGGAGATGCATCACGGTCAGATGGGTGTGCGATGGCTCCGATGACTGTGGAGACGGCACTGATGAACTTCCTGGTACCTGTTGTGAGTATCATGAGAATGGATTTGTCAAACCAATCCATAATCCCCCAGTCTCATTATTATAGTCTCATTTACTATTACTCACTTACTACTTTAAAAATCTCTTTTTATTGAGAATGATATTCACATGTCACAGCGCTCCATCATCTCTTATACATTATATTCCCATTAAACATAAAACTGAAAAACAAATCTGTACCTTCCATACCTTTTTAGTCTCTTAGTTAATCAAAATGTAAAAAATCAATACTAATAATAGATATATATTATAATAATTGATTAAATAAACAAATGAGTAAATAATAAAAGAGGTAAATAATAATAATAACTGTGTTTATCACTTCTAGCGGCTAAAACGTGTCGGCCGACAGAGTTCAGCTGCATGGACCGTCTGAACCAGTGTATCCCCAGCACCTGGCGCTGTGATGGAGTAGCTGACTGCGAGAATGGGACTGATGAAGACACCTGTGGTGAGTCTGAAGGCCCACACATCTCACTCACCATCTCCTCAAACATCCTTTCACCCTAACCTCCTGCTCTAATGTTTCCCCGGTCATCCATCCCTCTGCTCTCGTAGCGCCAAAGCAGTGCACAGACAACGAGTTCCGCTGCAGGAGCGGCCAGTGCGTGTCGGCCTCCTTTGTGTGCGACGACGAGGCAGACTGCGACGACGGCAGCGACGAGGCCACCTGCCCGCCCGTCACCTGCAGCGCCACGGCCTTCCAGTGCAACAACACCGTTTGTGTGCCGCGCCTGTGGGCCTGCGACGGTGACACCGACTGCACCGACGGCTCGGACGAGTGGCCCCAGAACTGTGGTACAAAGACACCGGCCTCTGCTCCCACTCATCAGTGCTCCTCCCTGGAGTTCAGCTGTGGAAGTGGAGAGTGCATCCACGGCAGCTGGAAGTGTGACGGAGGAGCCGACTGCCTCGATCGATCGGATGAAGCCGACTGTGGTAAGGGCGACTTCGACGTTCACTACGCGAGAGCAACGGTTAACTTTTGCATTCATAACGGTTGATTACTGAAGATTACTGAACACACCGGCGAATTAAACAATATCACACTGGTGAACAACATCACCACCTCTGGTGTGATATTGCTTTTATACAACAGTTCTACCAGCGCCATATTAGTTAAATAAACAACAATAGATTGTGATTTATTTGTTTATTTTATCATTTATTTGGCGATGCCAACACAAATAGTTCCACAACTGGGCTGATACTGGACTGTTGCTAAGCAACACATAAACATTTTCCCATACCTGCACAGTGCACACTAGCTTCCCAGCAAACGGGTAACCCTTAGGAAACGTGCCCTAAAGGGAGCCTTTAAATTTTACAACCTTTAAACCTTTCCTCTACGTTTTTGAGGAACCTTCAGAGAACCTTAAGGGGATGTTCTCTAAAGGTTCTCTAAAGGTTCTACAAACACAGCCTTCCAGAAACATTCCTGGAAGGTTTCGCTAACAAAGTTAGCTGGGCACTAGCAACCTAGCTAACAAAGTTAGCTGGGTTGCTAGTAAGAAAGTATTTAAGAAAGTATTTAAGTATTCAGGCTTCTTCCCTTCATCCTTTTCTGACAACCAGACATCATTTAATTGAAATGTTACTTCTGGAAATATTTTTGTAAAAATAAATAAATAAATAAAATAAATACATAGTTTGTTACAATCTTAGATAACAACCGTTCACGTACCGATAATTATCGGTTAAGCGGAGTGATACATATAGTTAAAAGTCCCAGTGCTGTTATACTCTATATCAGCACTCATGGAATGCCTCTCGTCCAATTAAATTACTTGGTCGGAGCTAACTGTTGTATAACTGTTGTTGCGTCATCTCTTGTGCTCACTCCGCATTTCTGCCTCCAGCTCGTCCCACCTGTCGTCCTGATGAGTTTAGATGCGGCGATGGCACTTGCATCCATGGGAGCCGTCAGTGCAACCACCAATATGACTGCGGGGACATGAGTGATGAAACGGGCTGTGTCAACGGTACGACCCTGTTCCCCCAGCCCTCCCTGACCCTGGTTACTGGCGGGCAAATGAACCATCAGATCTCTAGTCTGTGTCTCTGTCACCTGATCCCGTGTTATTGTTTCCACGTGTCATGCGCAGCGACCCACTGTGATGGCCCGACCAGGTTTAAGTGCCGCAGCGGCGAGTGTATTAGCATGGAGAAGGTGTGTGACAAGCACCGTGATTGCAGGGATTGGTCAGATGAGCCTCTGAGGGAATGTGGTGAGTGCATAACTGTCTGGTTAATTACTACCTGTGTGTATTTAATGAGGGTGTAGCTGAAAAATCCTCCAAAAAAAAAAACCCCAATCCTTTTCTTCTTCCCCCTGAAGGCTCCAATGAGTGCCTGTACAACAACGGCGGCTGCTCTCATATCTGCAAAGACCTGAAAATCGGATACGAGTGCCTGTGTCCTGCTGGATTCAGCCTGGTTGACACCAAACGCTGTGAAGGTAACAGCCTCTCATGCAGTTAACATCAGTAATAGTCAAATATCCATGTGCTTTTTCATGCTAACGTGAACTTCAGTCACATTAACAAATGATGCCAAGTGACCTGTTTACTCTTAGTGTCCTGTCAGATAAAGAGGGATCTCGTAATTCTCGTAATGGACACGGGGATTCAGCTTTCGTTACACTGTCTACGTGTGTTTCGTTTAATTTTTTATATCCAATTTCTTTTTTTCTCTCCTTCATTGAATCAGACATCGATGAGTGCGCCAACCCTGATACCTGCAGCCAGATCTGCATCAACCAGATAGGCAGTTACAAGTGCGAGTGTGAGGAGGGTTACCAAGTTGACCCGGCAACCAAATCCTGCAAGGCCGTCGGTAAATACGAGCTCTGTGTTCTTTCTAGAGTGTTTGCTGTAATATTATGTAAGGGTTATATGTTGAATAGCCTTGTCAAATGTTGTATTTCCTGTTGCATTGTACATGTAAGATTAAGAATTTAATCTCCTCTTATTTCCTCCCATTTTGTGTAAGGAACTATAAGCTAAAAAGCTTTTGTGCATAATTTAAATTATTGGACATATTTTTTGACTGACACCTTTGATCTGGTGCTAAAGCGCATCATAACCCTGCACAGTCTATGAATATTGAAACAACAAATCCACTTAGTGTTGATTATGTGCTGTGATTCGACAAAGGTATCCTTTTACAACATTAAAAGTTTGTGCCGATAGCTCAGCTGTTTAAACGTCCTTGCAGCAGTGACCCGGGTTCAAATCCAACACTGAATGTCAACCCTGTCTCTCTCCCTTCTTTCCTGTTTATCTCCAATGATTAAATTAAACTAAATTAAATTAAATTAAATTAAATTAACGCTAACAAGACACAAGACAAAATCAAGGATATGCTGATTTCTTAGGAAAATGTGGTTTTAATTTCAGTTCAACTTTAGACAAATATTCAAACAAAATTACTAATAAAAACCAACCCATCTACTCTTATTTTGTAGGAACAATAGCGTACCTTTTCTTCACCAACCATCATGAGGTCAGAAAGATGACTTTGGACAAAAGTGAGTACACCAGAGTGATCCCCCGTCTAAAGAACGTCGTGGCTCTGGACATGAACATGGCCGCCAAAGAGATCTACTGGTCAGACATCTCCCAGAAGAAAATCTACCGGTGAGTAAGACATGACAGTCGGGTTGACAACAGTCGCTGTTTCCTGTGCTCCTGTTTTGACGCCTGCTTTCATTTTCTATCTAGAGCTCAGATGGACTCGGCTGAAGACTCCACTCGTCACAGCATAGTGGTCGACAGCGACATCGATGCTCCCGAAGGCATCGCCTTCGACTGGATCCATGGTAACCTGTATTGGACTGACAGCATACGCTGCACCATCTCCGTGGTAACTGCTGATGGCCGCCGTCGTAAAACTCTCTTCCACCAAGACTTATCGAAGCCCCGCGCTATAGTGGTCGACCCCCACAGCAAGTAAGTCTAATAAAAGTACAGTAATGGTTAACTCTGTTTTCTTTATGTCTGTGAAACCCAAAGGAATCAAATGTTTTTAATCAGTTTGATTTACGATATTTTTTCTCCTCGCAGCTTCATTTACTGGACAGACTGGGGAAACCCTGCTAAGATTGAGAAGGCGGGTCTTAACGGAGGAGACCGCGCCGCTCTGGTCACCGACAACATTGTGTGGCCTAATGGCATCACACTGGGTAAATGCAGCGTCCATCTCTTCTCTGGTTTCAAGTTGTTTTTTTTTTTGTTTTATTATCAATTCATGTGAATGGCAGTGGTCACTCTGGTCTGACCTGTTGACCCTCCCCCACCTGCTTCCTCCGCAGACCTGTTGAACCAGCGGCTCTACTGGGTGGACTCTAAGCTGCACACCCTCTCCAGTATCGACGTGCAGGGCGGTGGCCGACGCACCCTCATCATCGACGAAGACAAGCTGGCTCACCCACTGGGACTCACTGTGTTTGAGGTGGATATTTACCATCTGATAAACTCTGTTACACATAAACCCACAGCCTGTGAAACATGGCGTGTCATGACCTCCTCGCTGCACGTGCCTCCAGTAGTGTTCCTCACCGCTACTCTCCAATCTCTTAAATGTTCAAGCTTTGTTGTTTTTTTGTTTTTTTTGTGCTTCCAGGAGAAAGTGTTCTGGACGGACATCAGCAACAACGCCATTCTCAGCGCAAACAGGCTGACAGGTGATGACATTACACCGGTGGCGGAGCACCTGTCGTCACCAGAGGACATTATTCTCTACCACAACCTCAAACAACCTGCTGGTAAGAGACGTCGCACACCAGTATTACACTGTCATTAAAAATAGGTAACGGTCCAATTTATTTGGTTCATTTTGATGATATTGATGCGGAGGCAGTGAAATATGCAACAAATGCAACAATGGTAAATAGGGTTACTAATTTGCATAGGAGATCAATATTTGCCTTTTTTTAATATTGAAAAAATATTGTCATGCGCTGCTAGTTCTAGGGATCATTTACTGCAAGGAAACCATATGTTTAAGTAACTTTATTGGCAATTATAGACTTTTTCTGCTTTAGTCTGGTCGGGAGTTTCTGCTCTAACTGCATAAATTCAGGGTTTGGGTTTCAGTGGATCCGTAGTGTCAAAATCCATTACAGTTCAAATAAAGACTTTAGACTGTATCAGGGAAACACTAAATATTTCAAATTTTTTGCATGAAAAATATCAGAGATGAAATAATTGACTTTAAAGGAATAGTTTGAAGTTTTGAGAAATATATTTATTTGCTTTCTTGCCAAACGGTTGGTAAAACTCTGTACAGTAAATATGTAGCTAGTTAGAGTCAGTAGCTTGTTAACTTCCAACTAGTTAGTCAGCTTTAGAGGTGTTAGCAGGCAAATTTTGCCAGGCTAGCTGTTTCCGCCTGTTTCCAGGCTAAGCTAGGCTAACCGGCTGCTTGTTGGTTAGCTTAGCTTGTAAGCTTAAATGTAGCATAAAGACATGAGACGGGTATCACTCGTCTTGTCGTGTCTCTGCAAGAAAGTGGTTCATGTTCCAAAGTGTCAAAATATTACTTAAATATGATTATAATGATACTCAACTAAAACTGAATCCCCCTTTTTGTTACAGGGAGGGATTGGTGCCATGTGTCCAACGGCGGCTGTGAATTCATGTGTCTGGCAGCTCCTCAAGTGGGAAGACATCCTCCCAAATACACCTGCGTCTGTCCGGATAACATGATGCTAGCCAGAGATATGAGAGCATGTGTACCTGGTGTGTAAATTATCCAAAAAAATTACAAAATCATAATTTAATTATTCCTGTCTTTTAGATAGAATATTTGCATTAGCTCAGTGCTGACTCTCACCCCTCCCCCAGTGCCACCTGGGACCGCAACCAGGACCACACCCAGGCCCACACCCAGGCCCACACCCAGGACTACACCCAGGACTACACTCAGGACTACACTCAGGACTACACTCAGGCCCACACCCAGAACCACACCCAGAACCACACCAGAACCCCAGGTCCATACCACCACCACAGTGCCTATCGTGATCACCAGCTCTGCGGCCAAGCCAGCACCACACACCGCCAAGCCACCGGTCAGGACCACCACACCTCCACCGAGGACCCCCTCACCCCCGCCAATGAAGCCTAAAATTTCCCAGGCCACCACAGAGGCTCCCGTCACCTCTCCAGGCGAGTTCCAGTGGTGTTATAGTTGGTGTATTTTAGAGAAGAGCAGTCAAACAGTGTAGACATGTTACATTCCTGTTTTGAAGAACTTGAAGGCAACACCAAAGAAGCAGCTGGAAAACAGCTCCGCCGCGTGACAATAATTTCAATATTTAAAACATAATTCATGTCTCTGCGATGTTGATTTTCATCCTGCACTGCCCCGATGTGACGCTAGTTTCATGTTTCATTAACTGTGTTCACGTTTCCTTCAGATATCCGACGTGAATTTGCTGCAGCCATACCTGCCTCCAACGCCCCAGTGGCTCTGTACATCGTCTTACCTCTGGGTGAGTCGCTTTGGCAGCCGCTACAAAGGCAGCGTCTACACACAAAAAAAGAAATTATTCAAAATATATTCAAAATAATAACAGCAACCAATCATCTCTCTCTGGGTCTCTTCCTCCCGTGTAGCGATTGTTTGTCTCGTGGCCGTTGGCGTCGTGCTGCTCTGGAGGAACTACAGGCTGAAGAACACCAACACGATTCACTTCGACAACCCCGTCTACCAGAAAACCACCGAGGACCAGGTTCACATTTGGAGGAGCCACAGCCCCGACGGTTACGCCTACCCTAAAGTGAGTCTAAGACGCGTCACTTCAACTAGTTTATTTTTTTTTTACTGAGATTTAACTGAATTCCTCATCTGTTTTAGAGATTTTTTAAAAAATCCGAATTTCACTTATTTTGCAACTCTGTCATGTTATGTCTGACATCTTTTTTTTTTTTTATTATTTGCTGTCCTTTCAGAGACAAGTTGTGAGCTTGGATGAAGAGGCAGACAATCCAGCCTTCACAGATAACTGAAAAATATCAGCGCAGTGGAAAGAAGAGCGTCGATGATAAGCTACCTTGGACGTCCTTTTGTATTTTTACCTCACTCAGTACAAAGATATGGAAGTCAGAGCCAGTCTCAGACAAGCTTGAACCACTATATCCTCACAGATGAATAAGCGCTCTACAGTAGAAAAACCAGGGTGAAACACTTTTTTTTTTTCGTCCACCAAATCATACCAAATCATCCGCTGATGGATTCCTCAATATAAAGTTGTTGTTTTGTTTTTTTTTTTACTTGTTATCGTAACTGTGATCCTGACGATATATCTGGAGAACTCTGTCGTTGTTAAAGCCACATGTTGTCTTGCTGCGTGCGTCAGTTTGACTGAACTCATTTGATGCAGCTCGTAAATTGGGATTTCCGTCCAGCACATGTTACGTCACATCATGTTACACGTTCACAAATGAGTGTTGTAAATATCACGGTCACTTATTTTTGTCTTCCAGTGCTAAGTGACAAGCTGTTAATGGCACATTATCATATCTTGAACTATTTATAGTTTAAAGCAACAGTAGATATTTTGGGAAATATGCATAGTCACTTTGTTGCTTAGAATGAAGCTAAAACCAGCAACGAGGCAGTTAGCTTAGCTTAGCTTAGCATAAAGACAGGAAACAGGGAAAAGCAGCTGCTTCGAAAAGCCGCCAACCAGCACCTCTAAAGCTCTGAAGCTCACTATCATGTTTTAACGTGTTTATTTAATCCGTTTATGAGCGAATTTAGTGCTCTGAAGTTTTTGTTGTTTCTGTGAGGTGGTCAGGAAATCAAGAAATTATAGAACGTAACTTCCTGTAAAACCACAACAGTCATGATCAGATTTATATTTTGTATATATTAAACAAATGTGATACGGTGCGTCAGTTAATGAGCTTTTGGTGCCGGTTGGTAGAAAACAGCTAGGCTAACTGTTTCCCTGTTTCCGGTCTTTATGCTAAGCTAAGCGAAGCAAATGTCACCTTTAATCTACACACGTGAGAGTGGAGCCAGTTTTCTCGTCTCACTCTTGACAAGAAAGCAAATAAGTGTTTTTCTCCCCATAATGTCAAACTATTCCTCTGCTTGTTCACCGGAAGCAAGAAAATCGGAGCCGGTTTTATCCCAAGACGAACACTAACACGAATTCAGCATGTGCCAGTTTAACCAGTGTGACCTCAGTAAGTTTCATAGTGATTTTTTTACGCTAGCAGTTGCCTCCGTAGACGAGCTAAAATATAACCCAAAGGGACCTAGAGTCACTGCTGTAGGTAACCTCAGTGAAAACACACTGTGCCTTGAACACTGTATTCTGTGTTCGTCTTCAGATTTCACTTTTCACCATATGTCTTTGAGGCTAGCCGGTTGTTCGCAGTGTCCTTCAGCAGCTGTCTGTAGTTTCACAGTTTCCCAGGTGCTTTTCCTGCTCCATTCTCCTGATTTGCGATCGGCTGTCTGTGCATTGGAGAGTCATCTTTAAATTTTCCTTCCCCGTGACCCCCCCACCACCTCCCCACCACCTCCTCAGGAGGACCACTGCATTCCCCAAAGTCAGAAAAGCTTTTGAAGCAGCCACGTGTGAGCAGTGGGGCCTAGTCCAACGCTCTCTACCGTGGCACGTGTATATATTCACATCCTCCCTTTGGACCAGAACTTCAGTTTGCCTTATTCCAGCCGTCCTGACAAAACAAAGCCATGTGCCATATCGCTATTTTTAAAACTCAGCGACTGTTTGAGCTCATTTATTCGTTTTACTGATAAATATGTGCCTTTGTAATTACACAATTTGTTCACATGTTCTCGTTGGGGCTATTGAACTCTGTATAAGATCAACGTGTCTGCCTGTTTACAATGACTTGTTTGAGGTACGTGGCGGCGTTACATGCAGGTGAGGTTACACCTAACAAAGATGTTGTTGTGATGTGGGTCGATGAGTCGAGAGGCTTTTTGTAAGAGAAAGTAATCCATAAGTGCAAGTGAAGCTGTACATAAATTCAAATCCACTAATGTGCAGATTAAGTGTGTAAATATAATGTTCATAAATGTAAATATTTGTTCTTTATGTTTTTGTTTTTTTTTGGTAATAATGTCAATGTCTTAACCTTTGTTGTGAACTTTTGCTGTACATAAATAAATGCTTCTATTTATTATAGAATCAGTTTTCTCCGGGTTCAGTTTTTGAAGACTCGTGTCTGAATTTACTTTGATGCACAGCTTGTTAACAGTTTGAATTAACTAATGTTGTTGTTGTGTTGAGTTTTTATCCATTACTAGAAGCAAACTATTACACCTATTTATGTTACTTAAATTAACTATATCTTTCAGGTAAATATTTCAACTGTCCTTTACATTTAATTAACAATCTCAATTGTTTATTCAGTTTTAGCTGTTTGAACTATTTATCCATGAGTTAGTGTTAACTTGCTTTGTTCAGACCCTCAAGTTGATGGACAGTTTACTGTTATTGTAAATCACCACAAATATTTCTATAGACATTTTTTTAAATCAATTCACACTTATTTTTTTGTTGAGTAAGTTGAGTTCAGTTGATTTTTTGAAGCTTTTCCACAAGGTTCCTGCTTCTGGTTGAGAATCACTTCCTGTACTACAGCACTACATCACACATACTTTCATTTTTTTACCATTTCTTCAGAAACTATTTGGATATTTTTTCCGATCTTCTTCTCCTTTCCTTTGCTCCTACCTGGTGCTAAGTACTTTGGTGATATGCTCAAACTGCTATGCCTTACTTCCCTTCTCTGTGTTGTTATCACGGGGGCTGAAATGCTGCTTGAGATACGTGGCAGATGAAAACTTTTGGAAAACGGACAGCACCGTGTTTTGTTGTCAAACGGCTTTGGTATGCAGACTTGGCTGAAAACGTGAGGGGGTTTTTTTCCCCCTCTTTTTTCTGGGGGGGCTGGCTGTGCTTTTGTTGTTCTTAGATGGAATACAAGACCATTTTCCTAGAAAGTCCAGACGTCACGGTGAAAGGCAAAACCACAGTTTCTAAGAAATTCTCCAACACTGTGAGACCACATGTAGGAAAAATAACAACAGGGTCTGAGTGTTTTTCCACATAAAATTAAAAGATATAATAACTAACTAGATTAGTCTGAATACATTGATAAATACCCCATATAATTTGGTAATTATCACATTTTTGTTTATATTTTGATCATACAATTTCATCATCAAATTGGCAGTTGTAACAGTAAAGTATATGGATCGTATTTATACAAGCAGATGCAGAAAGAGAGGATCCCATGACTCCAGGCCGAGCTGGGTAGACGTATGCATGAGCAGTTTGTAATGTGCATATTCATGTTTTGATGCACACACACAGACACAAAAAAACATTTTATCAAATCTTTCAAATCCGTGTTTTGTGGAAGCTTTGACAGGCCTTCACAACAACAGCTCCCAGTGATGAGAGGGGAAACAAAACAGCTCTGTGACCATAAAGATCTGTGGTCAAACCAACCAGTGGGTAGGGCACGTGCAAAGATCAAGGCTGAGCAAGAGCGGAAGTGTTGAGCTGATAACACGAGTCAGGGAAAAGATGCAGTGATACATCTACAGACGTGTGCAAAACATACAGATAAAAAAACAAGCGGTCCCTGCTGACGGTAGACCACTCCCCAGGGGAAAATGTAAACACTACATGATTATTAATACACATCACGAACAGTGTGAATCTTTCCTGATTCTCAGCACTCGTTGTCAAAAAGAGTTATTGAACACACAGTGGAGAATGTCTGTTTTTTCCTAGAAAGGTTTCATCTGAATCCCTTGACATGATTAATCATTAACGTAACCACAAAAGGTCACTGGCTGGATCTTTCCAGTTACTTCTACAGATGGAAGGACTTGACACAGCTGAGGTCACCCGCTGCACGTTTTTCCGTTTAAAAGAAAACCTGAACGTGATTTTCAGGTGTATGGCTCAACACGATTCATCAACATTTAGCTTATACAGCTTTAGCTAATTTGGTATCTCTGTGTGATCCAGTTTAAATTTTGGTGTGGAATAAACACGGAGAACAGAAAATCCCATTTTGTTTATTCACATAAATTCATTAATTATACATAACATATATATAGACATGATACCTGAGCAGGTTCCAGTCGATTTCACCTGATATTTAAGACATGTGCCCAAAACATGTAATTCAATGGGATAAGTGGGAAAGGATTGTAGCACCCAAAAATATCCTGGCTGCATCCAATGAGACACAATTTCTAATTTGTCTAAAATTTGCAACGTTATTCTAAATTAAAATTCAGAACCATTATTATGTCCAGATATTTAAAGTCAGTAACTATATTGACCTCTTGACCCATCACGAGAAAGTCAACTTGAGGGCAACTAGTTTGGTTAATATTGAAAGGAAGACATTTTTGTTGCTAGCTTAGCATATAACCACATTTGCAATTCTCTCCAGTAACACCGTGGTGGAAGATCACTTATATATAGCGGCCCTAACACTGATCCTTGAGGTACACCCTCTGTTCACTTCATGTTACTGCTTCATTAGCTTATTAACTCACTGTATCCTGTTAGATCATTTTGAAGCCAGTGCTTTAGATGAAGAAATACACGTTCAAGTGAGAATGTCATGAATGACTGTGACGAATGATTCATGCAAATCTAAAAACACACTAAACCACCTGCTACTCCTCCTTTATCAAGCCACGATTCAATATTCAGTGTGAGGCATCTGCTTTACCACACAGATGTCTTCTAAATCAGGTCAAAACGTTGTGTTTTTTGGCCCATATTGATTCTGTCATGAGTCAGTCACGTCAGGTTTGTTCTGGAAACTCTTCCAACAAATCTTGTACGCACAACCCAAACTGCTGCTGTGATGGGACATGATGTCACATAGTGTTTGGTTTAATACGTCACACGGCCTCGCCCCCTCTGGTCTTCCCATGCCGAGTAAACATCCTGTCCCATAACCTGCCAGATTAGTGATTCAGCAAACAGGTCTGATTTTTATTTGGGGTAAATGGAGTTTAACATATGTCGAGATCCTTTTTGGAACTTCAAGGAACTTGACACTGACAGTGAAACATTTTAATACAAGATATTGTCGTAGTTTTGCTTAAATGACTGAAATCTAATGATGAAGTCACTGTAAATAGTACTAATAATATTTATTTGTTTACAGGTAATGTCTGCATATTTATATATAGCCAACACCTGATCCGCCAGACCATCTGGATCTGACATTATCTATAAGTGTTAGCTTTCATATTCAAAGATATTCTCTGTGAGGGAAATTTTTATTCTTCAGGCAGCTGGGATTGTGAGCTGACATTATGTTTATTTGGAAAATTCTCCGATTATAATGTTGGGAGTTTCAAAGTATGATAGCTAATAATCTTAATTGTAATAAAAACTTAGTTACATTATTCATAAAATTGTTTTATTTTTATTTTATTTTAACAAAACTAAGTGTACCATGCCAGGTACAAAACAAGTAGCCTACACAATATAAGATACAGACATACAGGAGTGCTGATAACATGTTCAACAACAAGTATTTATAGAATAAAAACATGACAATAAATAAAATAATTAAATGGTGATAAATATACATATAAAATAAACTCAAAAGTAATTATATGAATGAATAAAAAATGATAAGAAAAGACATAAAAGGAAGGCAATTTTTTATTATTTCAATCAGAAAGATTTCCTTATTCAGTGTTTCTGAGAGCGAAAAATAAATTAATTAATTAAATGAAATTAAAAATCAGAAGTGAGTTCCCCACAATTATAAAAGGAGGAAAAAGAAAAAGAAAAATGTAGTGAAAGTGTGTAAATAATCTTGTTTTTCCCATTAAATAAAAAATAACAACTTATTCTAGAAATGTGTTGATGTCTGTCAAAGTAAAAAAAATAAGATGTGAAACTGAAAACTGTCGTTATCGCGCCCCCTGCAGGACACGGTGTGTAACCTCTGACCTGTGCACCGGAAATCACGTGGTTCAGCTTCTCACATGCGTGTGTAGCAGCTGGGATGATTTCTCTTCACTAGTGTGTAGTTTTTAATTTTTCGCATAAAGCTTTATCCTTCCGTCAAAAAACAAACATGTCGGGTAAATCGGAATTAAAAATCAACTCCCAGTTCGCGCAGAAATATGAGAAATACCGACAGAGAGAAGAGTTACAGAGACGTAAGTGTGTCGCTGCTAGCTAACGATCATGCTAACAAGCCAACGTGGGAAGTGTAGCTAGCTTAAAGTTGTTTTTTTCCGGCGCTGTGTTGTTTCTAAATCTGATTTTTGATTTGTCCTGTGTTGTTGTTGTTGTTGTTGTTGTTGTTGTGCAGTGAAGGACCGATACGGAGACCGAGATGACGACAGTGACTCTGAAACGTCCGAGTCCAGCTCTGATGACAGTGAAGTGGTTAGCATCGCTGCTTCTTCTCCTTTCCACCCTCTGTCATTAGATAACAGTGTCTCACTGAGGTTGACCGACTTTTATTTCCCCTCCAGGAGATCGACCCTGAAGTTGAGAGGGATTTTTACAGAACATTGTCACTGCTGAAGAAGAAAGACCCGAAGATCTATCAGCAAGATGCCAAGTTCTACTCAGAAGGTGGTAAGTACAATAATTGGTGTTGCTTTCACAGTCTGTGGGACATCTCGTGTTTTCTTCGGTAAACAAATGATCTAAATCTCTTGCTTTCAGGAGCATCCAGCAGTGATGAGAAGCCTTCGACCTCTAAGAAAGCAGTGAAGCCTATGTATCTCAAGGACTATGAACGTAAAGTCATATTGGAAAGAGAGGGGTGAGTCAGCTCCATCATTTACACAGTTTTTGCACCACAATCAGTCTTCTTTTCCAAGTCTCTCAAATCAGGAAGTCGGTCCTCACTGGCCTCGATTTGTCAAAGTAACAAGTGTTGGATCCTGTGGTCAGGACTGAGGAGTTAAAGAAAAGAAATCTCTCTGATCGTCCTTGTTTTAAGATGCCAGGAGAAAAATAAAATATATTGTTTGTATATGCAACGTGTACATTTGTTCATGGTATGACTGACTTGGACACCCTCACAAAGTGGCAAAATTAGAGACAATTAAAACAATGTGATCGGAGGGTGCTGACTCCGATCATGTCAGTCAAAATGTCTATTATTCAAAATGATATATACATTTATTCTGTAAGACATGTGAGAAGCAGCGTTTTGCTAATTGCTCATAGGTTGGCGTCATTATGAAATAATCTACATTGACAGCCACTTTTTATTATTTGCAAAAACAATTTTGTGACTTTCACGTTTCACATTTTACTTGAAACTGTAACTGAAAATCTTATTTTTTATTTTACAGTAAATATGAAGATGACGACGACAGCGATGATGAGGAGGCCGCTATGAGAAGAGAGGTAGACAAAGTTATATAATCCTTCTCAGGAGTTTGGAGATCCTCAGATCTGATGTCAGGTGATTTAACAATTGTCGTTGTTTTCCTTTTTAAAGAGAGCGGCCTCTCCGAGCTACGTTCAAGAGCAGAAGGAGCTGAAAGAAAGGTAAGGCCCAAACCATCTGAAGGTGTGCAGCAGTATCACTCGCAGACTATTTACGGAAACCGAAACCTCTTGTCAGCTTCCGCAAGTTCATCCAGGACAGCGGTGATGAGGATGAAGGCGATGAGGAGGGCGGAGAATCCCAGCTGCTGACCCGGAGGATCAAAACTCAGGAGGAGAAGGTCAGAAGCCAGAACCTGGCAGCTGCTCGTCCTCTGGAAATAGATTCACACAAAAGAATTACACGTCCGGATAAACTGGTCTGTGTCTGTTTGTAGGATAAAGAGGAGGCAGACTATGTGGAGTGGCTGAAAGGTCAGGCTGAGCTCGAGGGTCCGGAGGAGGTGAAGGACATGGTGAGTGAGTGTAATTAGACAGGAGAGAGTGTAAGAAATCAGGCGGGGAGGTTGATTTTAACGCTGGTTTGTGTCGAGACAGAAATACCTGAGGGACTACTGGAACGACCCAGAGCTGGATGCGAAGGAGTGTTTCCTCAGAGATTATGTCCTCAACAAGGGCTACCTAGATGACAACGACGGCGATGAACGGTACGTCGACGCCTGTCTGGATGTCAGGTTTGCTCGCCTGGGCTGTGAAATGAAGCTGCACGTGTACAATTAATTCTCCTGATGCATTCAGGATCCCAACCTACGACGAGGTCATCCAGGACGACGTGGAGGATTCTGAGGAGGAAGGGGAGACGTTCTTGGAGAAGCAGGAGGACTTTGAGAGAAGCTACAACTTCCGCTTCGAAGAGCCCGACGCTCAACAGATCAAGACCTACCCGCGCAACATCGCCACCTCAGTGCGTTCCAAAGACGACCGCAGGAAACGCAAAAGGGAGGAAGTGAAAGAAAGGAAGGAAAAGGTATCATATTAAAATAAAAAATCCCTTTTATCTTATATGTAACTCTCTGCCTCTTTAGCAGTAAATCACAATGTTTAGCTAATAGCTAATATAAATCTCTGTCCCACAACTATTTCAGGAAAAAGAGCAGAAGCAGGAGCAGCTGAAGCAGCTGAAGAACTTGAAGCGAAGCGAGATCATGGAGAAGCTGAAGAAGCTTCAGGAGCTGACGGGCAACGAGCAGCTGGCCTTCAGTCAGGTGGACCTGGACGGAGACTTTGATCCGCAACAGCACGACCAGCTCATGCAGGTGCGTCCTGGATGCTACCGGAGTTTAAGCTAGTGTTAGCAGCTCTGTCCTGCTCCAACGCTCACAGCAAACACAGCCATTGTTAACCACCTCAGATATCTTTAATGCCACCAAATAGATTTATGAGCCCTCATCCTAAAAGCCCTTTTTTATTAATATTAATCAAAACATATAGTTTGAAGAAAATGAGATAATTACCAATTGACAAACTGCTTTTGTCTGAAATGAAAAACTGTTGATGAAAACCACCTATAACCGTTAATGAAAACTATTCCCTTGTTTTTCCTGTTTTCCTCATTTGATTAATGATTTAGTGAAACCATAAACAGTGTTGTGGTGTTAACAAAAGGCCTCTATAGTAATTGAGTAGGTTACATGATTAAAAACATAGAACATAATTAACTGACTGGACAGATTGGTCTGAGTCGTTAAATCTTGGGTCCAACAGCTGGAAACTGTCTCAGCTTGAATGAGCCAGATGTGAGGACGAGCTGCTTCCCCAGATCACACAGGTGTATGGTGTTTGGCTAATTAGACTCCTCAGGAAAGTGTGTGTGCTCATTAAGCTCATATTGTCTGAGAGCTACGTTGGGGTAGTGCCATTCCTCACGTTAAGAACACGACACAGTTGCTTCTGGCGGTTTGTTCTTCACCAGGACGCTGTGACTGAGCACAACTTCCTGCTGTGACGACGCCGCCCCCTCCAGCTCACACAGGTGTATGGTGTTTGGCTAATTAGACTTATTTAGTGTGCAGCTGCTTCCTGGTTGAGAGGTCCAGTGTTCAAACCGGACTTCAGCCAATGTGCAAGAGGCTGCACGCTCGGTTTGTCCCTCATTGAAGCACATTGAAAGTGACATTCCTTCTTTCTGTTTGCAGAAATTCTTTGGAGATGAATATTATGGAGAAGAAGAAGAAGAAAAGCCTCAGTTTGATGATGATGGTGAACTCGAGGGTAAGCCTGTGACATTAGCTCATATTAGCTGTGCGGGTTTTATTCACATGCAGTGATAATTACATCACCTTGAACCTGTTACTTGCTGTAATTAATGACTGAATTAGCGAAGCAGGGATATCAGGACGGGGTTAAGTAGAGAAAATGGATACCTGTTTAGCAACAAGAACAATCTGTTGCTAATTACACATTTCATTATTAGTAGTAGCTTGGAAATCTGTATAGAAAATGTAGTTAACTGAACGGTCTGAAGATTCGAGCCACGGCTTCTTGTGTGTGACACAGAGCACTGGAACTGGGACACATGGACTGGCGAGGGCGCCAATGGGGAAGAGGAAGGAGAGTACGACGGAGAAGAACATGGCGTGTCTGGGCCGCACTGCGACGACGAAGACTTCATTGTGAGTCGAACTCATTTGATCCTCCCTTCAGCTGGTCACCGGTACTGTGCCGAGGTCGGCCTGACACCTTGTTTTTTGTGTTTGTTCCTGTTGAAATAGATGGATGCAGACTACGACCCCAACCAGCAGAACGCGTCCAAGAAGAAGAAGAAAAAGGAGAGGAAGAAGATGAAGAAAGAGGATATACCACAAATGGGCAAAAAGAGGAAGAAGTCTTACTTTGCTGAGGCCATCACCAAAAACAAGCCTGTGTTTGATCCTCGTAAGTGTCAGTGAACCTGCCGCTGAGCAGCAGCTGCCCTGCGTCTCCTAACGGCGATGTGTTGTAGTTGTTCTCTGGCTGAAGGCTGCTTGTGTTTCAGAGGAGAAGAGCTTCGAGCAGTACTTGGATGAGTACTACAAGCTGGACTATGAGGACATAATAGACGACCTCCCGTGCAGGTTCCGCTACAGGCAGGTCCTGCCCAACGACTTTGGCCTGACCACTGATGAGGTGAGAACGGCGGCGTTTTCAACTCCAAACAACTGACTGTTCACAAAGCCCCTCGCACCTTTTCATTGTCGCTACGACTGTCAGGCTTTCCATTCTCACACTGTACATGTGATTTACATGTGGCAGATTTACTGCTTGAAATTTTTAGTAGTTTTTGAGCCAATTGTTTTATTGATTTTTGGACAGAAAGTAGTGCGGAGAAATAAACCACTTTATCTCCTCCTACAGCCTCACCACATGAGCATGTATAGAAATAGAAAGTCATTGGATGGGAGAGGGGTTTTGTGAACAGTCGTAATGCGGTGCAAACTAAATATAAATATTGGAAGATGATGTAATGTAGACTGACTGGCTGTTGGTTAATAATGCTGCAGTGATGAGCCTGAGGTGACTGATCTGGTATTGCTTCCCTCTGGGGAAAGCTCTGACCAGGGAATGATCTCAACTTAATCTTCTCTCTGAGCAGACCACACAGTGATCAGATGAAGCAGCAGCAGATTTTATCTCTAAAATTTACCTGATGCAAAAAAATAAATGACCAAATGTATTTAAATGCATAATTTATTGATTTGAACTAATGACTGACTTTGGTTCTTTCCTCAGGTCTTACATGCCAACGACAAGGAGCTGAACCGGTGGTGCTCTCTGAAGAAGACCTGCATGTTCAGGTACTGGGGGCTGTCCTTTTAAGTGTTACACCTGTTCTCCTTGTTTCAGGTCGTTTACCACACTCAAATCTTTTTTCTTTCTTTCTCTCAGGTCTGAAAAGGAAGAGATGAGCGATTTGAAAAACTATAAAATCAAGGCCCAGAATGAGAAGAAGAAGAAAGAAATCCTGGGCTCTGTATATTCTGAGTGAGTACAACACACCAACTGATCGGACCCTGATGGATTAATCCACCTTTACTGTAACAATAATTAATTCGCTTTAATCCACAGGGAAGATAAAGAGTCGGCAGAGGCTAAAACCAAGGTGGGGAAGAAGAGAAGAGATCGTATGAAGAACGCTGAGCAGCAAGACGGAGAAGCAGGGGACGGAGATGGTGCCGCCATCGTGGACTCTACGGACGAGACACTTGCCCAAGCTCTTAGAGAGGCAGGGGACAACGTGGAGGAAGAGGAGGAGGAGGTCCTGATACCCAAGAAAAAGAAGATGAAACAGGAAGAGGAGCCTCAGATTAGTTCTGGCAACGAAGCAGCAGATAAAGCTGTCGAGGTGAAAAACAGGACTGAGAGGCCAAAATGGTCTAAGAAGAAGCACAAGCCTTCAGGTGGACGCCTCATGTCGGGAGGCTTCGGGGTGAAGATAGGCGGCCGGGAGTTCAGTAGACAGAGACTGAAGGCCTACGGTCTGAACCCCAAGAGACTGTACTTCAGACAGATCGGCAGACAGAGACGAAAAGCACAGGAGAAGAAGGAGAAGCAGAAAAACAAGGAGTGATGAACGGTTTCCTCTGAGCCACCATCTTAGTAAAATCCTTTGACTCTGATCATCCAAGAATTAAAGACGATATAAGGAACAGGTTCACTATTCTGGTGTTTTTATGATCTCACACTGACCTTTTTTTAGATTTTGACAATTAGTGAATTTACCTGTAATATTTATAATTGAATATACAATAACTTCTCAGGCAACAAGTAATGGGGCCAGTAGAGGGTGGAACCTATTTTCTCTTGATATGATCTTATTGTGTGAATTTAGATTTCACAACTATAATAAACGTGCAGTTAAACTTTGATCTCTGCATTTTTAGACTTTTTTACGTTGATTGACGATGTAAAAAGATGCTTAATTCTTAAAAGTATTTTGTCTTTAATCACTGTCTGACCTATGTCGTCCTTTCACAGCTGATTCAAGCAAATGTTTTAACCATTGATGAACTGTTGGTGCATATTTGAACCAAGTGGATGAAAATGGTGAAATTAGTACATGCTTATAATGTTGGACTAGATAGCAGTTATATACTAACATCTCTGATTCTTGAACTTTTATTTGTAAGAAAAAATACATTAATATGGATGACTACACACAACAAATTCAAAAAGGAATGGCATTACCAGTGCAAATAACTGTACACATCCCTATACTGTGTATATATTATATACATATATATAATATATACACAGTATAGGGATGTACTTTTAGTCTTTATTTGTAGAGCACTTTTCTAAACCTGTTACAAACTGCTTTACACAAGACAAAATAAAACATCCATGTCATTAAAACAAGCAATCAGAAATACAATTAAAGTGTCTTAGTGCAAATAGACCAAAGGCAGCTGCTTGAACCCCAATAATTGCCGCTAGCGGTTGTATTTATTATGGTATTTATGATGTGTCAGCTCCCTCCTGTGCAGTAGGTGGCGGTATGGCACTAAACGCTGGAGGAAGTCCGCCATTGACCAAAGAAGAAGAAAATAAACGGCGCGCTCGGCGTCTGAATTTGAATCACGGAAGGACTCGTTCGGTATGTTTTGTCTTTGCTTGAATTTATATCAATTATTGGCTTTTATCACCTGTAAACGTTGTTCTTACAAATTAGACATGAAGTCGATAATGTTATTGTAACTTGTAACGTGCAGCAGTGTCATTTTTATCGTACTTTAGCTAACAATGTAGCTAACGTTTACACTGCACGTAGTTAACGTTGTTAACAAGGTAAACAAAACACAGCGACGTTTTCGTGGATGTTAAATAAAGTGTTAACTGTCTGTTTCTTTGACTGTCCAGCTAAAAATTTAACGAGACTGTCCGTGTTGGAAAGTAATACACCGTTACTGGAGTAAGTTAGCTTTACTCAACTTCAGGTATGAGCTAACAGTGGTGAAAGAAGCATTTAGAACTTTTTCTTAGCAAAACCTCAATATGAAAATACTCTATCACAGGTCAAAGTCCTGCATTCAACATCTTATTTAATTATGTAAAAGTATAAAAGTATTAGCACCAAAAATATATCTAAAGCATCAAAATAAAAAGCACTCATTTTGCAGAATGGCCCATTTTAAGATAAAGTATATTATAGACATGTATAAATATGCTTGAACACTGCAGTACTGGGGTGAAATACCTTGTTATGGAGTATTTATACACTGTTTGGTACTGCCACTTCTCTTGCAGTAACTTATCTGAATTTTTTCCACCACTGAGCAGTAAGACATAGATGTTTGGTTGTTTATTGTTGCTTATAATGTGAAGCTTAATAAGCCTAATGAAGTCTCACTCATTGCCGCTTGCAGGGATAACGTGTGATATTTTCAGTGTAATCTCTTCTTTTAGCTGCCAGTGACACCACAATGGCTCAGGGTCATAAATTTCAAGACTTGGAGGAGACAGGGGAGGCGTTGGTGGCCCTCATCAACAGCAGCCAAACGGAGAAACTGAGACGAATGAAAGATGAACATCGGGTCCTTTTTGACCAGCACATAGAAACGAAAAGGATTTTGACACAGATTTTAAGAGGCAAGTTATCAGACATTTAATGATTTCTTTCTCCTTTTTTAGCTGTTATTGTTCTCCATCACTATGTTTTCCTGTATTTGTGTTGAACAGTTTGTCTCATCTACAGTACACACACAGTTGTGAGTCAGGTCTGTATAATGTCTAGTTGAAAGTCACAAGGATTAGCTTGTTTACGTTTAATGTACATCTACTGCACTTTCCAACTCAGTGTTTCATACCTGGGTCCAGTCCCTCTGATCTTCATCTCCACATTTCTCTCTGTCACTGTCCTTCACCCACAGAAGAGGCTCAGATTGAGGAGAGTGTGGGCCAGAGGCTGCTGAACATGGAGGAGGAGAAGAAGCAGAGGGAGAAGGAGCTGAAGAGTCTGGAGGAGCAGCTGAGGCAGTGCATAGCCAAGAGCCAGATCACTGACTCAGAATTACAGTATCCTTTTTATTTGTTTGTGTGATTTATAAATCCCCGTCCTGCTGCATTCACTCTTTCCTTTGTTAGCATACTTAACCTCCTCCAGTTTCCTGAAGGGAGAGTTGGAGAGTCTGAGAAACACTGAACACGAGCTGGAGACTCTTCAGAGCGAGGTGGATGAAGACACCACAGAGGTTATCCCTTCAGCAGTGTGAGTGTCGGATATTCAGAAACGTATTGTAAGGTTTCAGTTTGAAGACGTGTTGATCACACATGAGCATATAATACGGAGTCTTATTTTCACCTTCTTTATGTAACGACGGATAGAAAGTTTGACTAGTTTTTGAACAGCCCCTTTTTCATTAGTTCAGGGATCTCCACATTTCTCTTCTATTTCCACAGATCTGTGTTAATGCAGAAGATTTGGAAAAGTCACAAACATAAAACAAATTAAATACAGTGAATGAGGTGTTCTGTATTTGATAATGTGACAGAAAGTTTTTTTTAAGCAAAAATTTGACAATTTAAGCTTTTTAAATGTGAGGACTCGTGTCTTTATCATTTTGTAGGCTGAATATCTTTGTGTTTTTGACTGTTGGTCAGAACAAACGGGACATTTGTAGACTTCACCTTCTGCTCTGGCAAACCCACAAGGAGCATTTCTCACATGACATTTTATAGACAAATACCCCACTCTGTTCGTTCACAGACAGAAGTTGACTCCGGAAATAAGATGGAAGAAAAACAATAAACACTATTCAGCTCTGGGGGAAAAAAAAAATCCAGATGTTTATTTTGCTGCTGCTTTCAGGTTCCAGCAGTTGAGATGTATTTTTCACTTTTTCCCTCTACAGGTACGTGGCTCAGGTGTACTACATAATAACTAAGATCAAGTGGGAATATGATACACCACCCAACATCCTAAAAGGAGGTAAGGCTTTGCTTTTTGTAATTATTAGTATCTTGTGTCCGTGTCTGCTGGTGCGGCTTCACATTTTCTCTTCCTGCAGTGCACTACGGCGCAGACCTGGCAACTCCCATCAACATCGACACCTCTATGAGATCTCGGAGTGACGTGAGCGACCAGCTGTGGGGTTTTGTCAACACTGATTGGTAGATGAAGGACAGTGGTGTTGTTAGAACTTATGTGTACATTATGTATTTGTTTGTATGTTTTATATAACATTTAATATCATTTAACGATTAAACGTCTCGGACCAGTGGCGTAGTACTTATTCTCCAATGTATTTCAGCATCATGGATTCATCAGAGCAGGTGTAGTGTCAACAGGTCGGCCACTAGGTGCCACTGCTGAGCTGTTTAGTGAAAGCCCACATGGTTTCTTTAGAGCGACAAACTGAGATGAGACAGTGCAGAGAAACAGACTTTAATGGAGTTTATTCAGTAGTTTTTGACTCTGTTCCATATTTGTGTCTCTTGATGACAAGACAGCCGTCTCCATGACGACTCAACACACTCTGTTTGCTGAGGAAGCCAGTGTGGTTCAGCTGTTGAAAGCTTTAGAAATGGGTTGTAGGTGGATTAGTTAAACTGTTCTTGAGGCCAGTGGTTCCCAACCTTTTTATCTGATGGACCATCACAGCTCTATCATGAGATAGTGTCCCTCCATCTCGTTAATGGATTATAAACTGAGTTATTAATTATATAAATATGAATATCTTTACTGTATTTTTTGATACAGTCAAACCGTGTTGAGGTTATTTTGCCTTTTGTAGTCATACTATTAGAGGCTGAACTGAACAGTTTCAACTGTTTATTCATGCATTTAGCCAACTATTTCAGCTATTTTTATTTTATTTATATTAGGGGATAAATAAAATTATCTATCTGTTTATCCATCCCTTTTAAAAATTTAGAAGTTGTTGGGTTTTTTGGTCATACTTTTTTCCAACCATTTCAAATGTTTATTACTTTCTAAATAATGCTAAATATGTCAGCGGGTTTACTTTAGTGAGCTTAATCCTTATTTGAACAATCCCAGTCGTCCATCCTTACTTTTAACTTTCTGATTCATCATTAGTTCATTACTTTTAGAGAACCGCTCGGCACTGGTTATTGTAATCTCAATTCAAATCATATACATTTTTGACCCTGTTTATTTTTTGACCCTAACATTAATATATGGAGATGTATTTTTTAATCAAATTGCAATTGCTGTTTTAGTTGAGTTTAGTCACGTTGATAGAAAAGATTGAGGATGGTTAACACTAAACAAGTTTTTATTGATTGGCATTATCGTCTGTTACTGATGTGTTTAGAAATCATCTTGCACCAGTGCACCACTGCTGTGCAGCTGTCCCATGTGAAACATTACATTAGGTAAAGTTCAGACATGGTGTTGATGAATGAGTAAAATAAAAAAAAAAAATGACATAGTGATGCATCTGCAATGAGAAAAGATGCTGAGGCATAATCATTTATCCAGGCGACAATCATAGTGCCCACGCTTACGCTATATCTGTTGAATTGTTATTCACCCGTACTTCACTGCCTTAATGAGAACTGAAACTTTCTCCTTCTCTGAAAAGGAGTCGTGGCTGTGTACCACTGCAGCGCAGTGGGTGGTGGGCAGGATGACGAACGGTGCTGAGGAGGCTCACACTGTCATATACCAGAACTTGTAAGAACCACGCAGCCATATGTGGTTTCCTTACGATAAACAAACTGAAGGTGACAGCTTTGTTTCTGCATCTTCATCTGTTCTTCTGCACATTAAATATTAAGTGGTTTCACAGGTGGTTTTCTATGGAGGTGGGGGTTTGTTTGTTAAGATCGAGCTCTTATCTGTTTGTATCACTCCTGTTACTGCGTTGGCAACTGAGGTTTCAGTTTGGACTCTTCAGTATTATTACTCAACATATTTATTTGAGCGTTACTTCGCTGCCGCTTGGATTTTACTCGCACTTGATCTCCAATAGGACACGATTTATTGCAGGGCCATTGGACCACATTTGATTTGCATTTGTTTCTATTTTCTGATTATATATTTATTTACATAGATGTCAATTTTTTAATATGTAACAACAACAGAAAAAGGTTAACAAGTTAATATCAGTTTGGAATAAAATTCATTCTGTTTTTGTCTCAATATGTGAAAAATATGTGACAAATATTCAAAGAGTTAATATAGTTTTTTAATGTAATTTCTATAATTTAGATTTTTTCCTGTAGGATCTCATTTTGTGCTCTGTGATGTCATGTTTGATATGTGTTTATTCAGATTTATTAGGGTAGAGAGAAGCGAGACGGATCAATGAGCAATGTGAAACTTTCAGGCATTAACCATTGAAAACATCTGAGAAGGAAAACTGCACCAGGTGACTAAAGAATATACAAACCTCTATGTAAACATCATTCACACGTTTATTTCAGTGCACATATAAAACTTACATCATAACTTAAATGAGGTTTTTACAATACAAAAAACGTAGAGCTCAGAAACAGCTATAGATATTTACAAAGTATACTAAAAACAATCAGTAAATATATTTTTGTTCTCTTTACATTATTGTACAATATTACAATTAGGAAAGTGTCCATGTTAATGTCACTATTACCACAATGAACTTCCCCATTACTTTGAAGCCCACAAACTCTGGTTCTGTCTCTCCTTCACGAGAAAGTAGATTAACATCATTGATAAGATGAAGATGAAGTTTTTCCCAAGAAGAAGACTCTTTTTTTTTTTTTTTGCCCACAAGTTCGGTTCCAACATAAAACTGTAATATTCTAGTTTGTTAAACCGAGAAGGCGTCAACAAACCTCCACTGTCAGCTTTCATTGCTTCGAGTCATTCATCATGTGTGGCTACATATGTAGAGGGGACCTCCAAAGCTGCAAACCACCCTGCACAACCCTCCATATGACGTCTTCAGTGCGTCTCCGAGCCTCTGATGTCGGTGGTGGTGATGGTGGGGGGGGATGGAGGGGGGGCCTCTACCCAGCGTCGCTGCTGACCAAGACTCACATGGCAGAAATTACATGGTTTTGGCAGCAGAGTTTGGGTGTGGATGCTCCGTGTATGTAACAACATATCATTATATGTTACACAGGGAGAGGAGATAAGGATAAATGTGACGCTCGGGCTTCAGGCCTGGTCTATCAGATGTGCGGCGTAATTGGCTGCGTTTATGTGAAACATCTGCACGCAGTCTTTGATTTCATGGAGTGAAACGACATCTTAGCCGAAGGAATGTCCTCTGACTGATACTGGCCCTGTTTTGTCTCGCAGACAACTGTCGTGCGAGTTTTTCACAAGAGACACGTCTAGCTACTGTTGAGGCGTGGACAACAATGTTTTTCATGATCACACTGTTTTTAGAAATACACACAGGAAATGTAAAAATAAAAAAAAGTTCATATCTTTCTCCCAATGTGGACATTTTTTTCACATACATCAAGCTTTTGCTGCTCGTGAAGATTAATAATACTGAGACTGTGGCGTGTGCAGCTCAGTTCAGAGGGAAGCGGCCGGCCTGTTTCAGCGGTCCAGTTCTTAGTCTTAATGCTTGCTCTCAGGGCAAAGTCACTCAGAGCCGCTGTGTCATGTCTTACACATCCTGGGGTAAATGGCTTTGATAGTAGATGGTGTAAAGTTCCCGGAGGACACCGTGGTCTCCAGTCCCTCCAGTCTGTGGGAGGCTGCGTCAGTCTTGCTGGTGCTGCACTCCAGGAAGGGGATCCCGATCTTCTTCACCTGTCCGTCTTTTGTCAAGAGGCAGGGTCGGCACAGCAGCCTGAGGATGGCCCTCCTCATGTCCTTGCTGGTCAGGGTGTAGATGATGGGGTTCAGAAGGGAGTTAAACATGGCGATGCCCAGGAAGTAGTCCGCCTTAAAGAGCACCTCGCAGCTCTTGGCTGGACAGCAGAAGTCCAGCAGCAGGAAGATGAAGAGGGGCAGCCAACAGGCGATGAAGACTCCCAGGACGATGGTGACGGTCTTCAGCAGGGCCATGTACTTCTGGGACTTGCGGTACAGGCCTTTGCGCTGCGGGACCGAGGCCAGGCGCTGGGTGTTGGACTTGACAATACGGAAGATGCGGACATACAGCACCACGATGGACATGAGGATGGCGCTGAAGATGGTGATGCAGAAGAGGATGTAGCTCTTGGCGTAGAGCGGCAGGACGGTGGAGCACTGGTCCAGCTGTCCCATACAGTTCCAGCCCAGGACGGGCAGGACCCCCAGGAACACAGACAACACCCAGCTCGCTCCAATCAGAGCAAACATCCGCCCCTGTTTGTCCCCCTGGTACGGCTTCATCCTCACCATGGTGACATGGCGCTCTATGGCGATGGCCAGCAGACTGATGACGGAGGCGGCCAGCATGATGAACACACCCCCCTCCCTCAGGAACCACAGCACCGGGGTCATGTTTAATGTGTTGGCACCTGATGTTATGAGGTTTACCATGTAGGTGAAACCCGCCAGCAGGTCGGAGAGAGTCAGGTTGCCCAGTAAGTAGTACATGGGCAGATGGAATTTCTTGTTCTTCCAGATGGCCACCAGCACCACGGCGTTTTCTACAACTATGAGCAGACAGACCAGCAGGAAAGCTATGGCCTCAGGTTTGAGTCCTTCCTTGTACTTGTTCTCCTTCAGCTTGCCCGTGTAGTTGTAGTGCTCTATGATGACGGCGTTGCTCTGGTACTCGCGAAACATCCTCAGCAGGTTTCCTGTTGACGGCGACATGGGGATCACAGACGGGGCCACAGCAGCATAAGCAGCATGGAAAGAATCTGTGGCCATTTTTTGTTATTTCCCACAGGTAGGTGCTTTTTTTTTAATTTCTCCCTGTTTTTATTCTTTCTTTTCTTCTGTGTTTTTGAAAATTAGATCCAGAGATACGTTGTCACATAGTCCTCAGGCTGTGCATCCTGTCTTTTTCTTTTGTATTGAAAGCTTAACTAGACAGAAGCAGACAGCTGTTGCAGGAGGAAAGTGTTTCTTTTGAAGCTATCCAGTAGGATTTCCTGTGGTTTCAGAACTTTCCTCCAAAGGAAAAAAAAAAAAAGAAAAAATCACATTTTTTTAATGCCCCAGCTGCGCACTAGGAGGCGATGAGAGCCAGCCTGCACAAAACAAGAGGAGAGAGTTACTACTGGTGACAAAAAATACATAATTAACACCAGGAAATAACGAATAAAATATATTAACACCCCCTCCCCTCCCCTCTCTCTACAATATCACGAATGCATGGAGCCAAAAACACATGATAGCGATCATGTCAGTATGAATGATAAGGGGGAAAGCCTCTAATACGGGAAATGAGCTTTCACAGTAATAACTTCTTCTTTTTATTTTTACAAGTAGAAGGTTTAAGCGTCAATGAGAGTGAAGTGAGAAAATTATTTTAATTTTAATTTTACTTAGACATCTTCTGTAATCTATAGACCTCAGTGAGTGTGTTTTCCTGCCTTTCAAAATTTTAACCCATATATATATTTACAATAATATATATATATTTTTAAAAGTAATAAGCGTTGCAAACAATAGAAACTACCTCAAAGCTTATGTGTGTATTTAAGTATCGTAATAGTAATTTGAATCATGCGTATATACTATGCGTAAATACGCATCAAGTATCCAAACCGGCAAATCTAATTCCAGATAGTTAGACAAGAGTTTACTGCTTAGTTTCTTTACGTGCATGCCCAGTTTTAATTGGCACACATACCGTAAATGGTTCAGTGAATATGCGTCTTTATACAGTCTATAACGTGAGAATCATCCATGTTAACAGAGGTTTTACAACAGTTAAAATGAGCACTGTCTTACAGTAAAATCTCTGTAAACGTCTCTTCACGAGCCTGTGCGCATATGTTCGGACCAAACGCGCTAAAAACAGAACCGTGTAAAAGTTTAGCGCTCACCTGTAAAAACCGTGTAAATATCCAGTGAAACTTCGCAGCAGCAGAAATGATCCCGGGTCCGGAGCAGAGGACGCAGCCTGTGTCGATCAGCGCGCGCCGCAGCGACATGTGAGTGTGATGTGGGAATGGCGCAGGGCAGGACTGAACAAGCAGAGGGTTGGTCTATAGTGTTTGTGCCCTTCAGCGAGTCCTCTCCCTCCTTGGCCTGACCCCTTTTTGTTATTTTCTTCTTTTTATTTTCTTTTTTTTTTACTTCTCCCAGATTTGGCCTCAGGAAGAACCAAAGCTCGATGACACATTCTGTATTTCTGTTTGTCACCAAGGGAGAAAGTGAGCTTTTCACCTGACTGCTTTGCCCGCAGGTACTTTGAACTTAAAAAGCTGAGCCAAGTGCATTTTCCATCTGCGTCCGTTTGTATTCACGGTGCTGCTTTAAGAGTTAATTGTGGCTTGAGATCACTGCAGCTTTATGTTGCTCTGCAGGTTTGTCAGATTATGTGGAAATCTGTCTCTCCCTCTCTCATCCCACACACACACACACACACACACACACAGTTAATAAAAAAGAAACATGGCACTCATATTAAATAATTTGTGAAACCTCAGATTTCAGAAAATATCTTCTTCCTATTGGCTTCATCTTTAATTATCCTTAAACTCACACATTAAAAAAATAAAACAACTCTTTTGCAGACATGCCATTCATGGGTGTATTTTTGTTTCTTTTTCTTGGAGGCCTATGTAGAAATGTTTAAGATAAAAACTCTAACCACAAAGTTAAATTACCACATTCAAAGTTATTCAAATTGACACCTACTCCTCCCTCACTGAAAAATCCCAAACCTGTGAATATGCAGATATTGTTTAGATTTGGTGCTAAACAAGATGTGTGTAAAATCCCAATGTTCAGGTGTTAAGCCGAGGTTTAATGTGAACAGTTTTCTAGAGTCAAACGTGCATCGTTCTGCAAAGTAAAAGGTCAAAGTATAAAGTAGCAAATCACAGTTGGAGGCGGCGCTTTAAAGTAGCTATTTGTCTTGTGTTGTGAGAAGTGTTAAATAAATTAAGATTGCTAATGTTCTTCCTGACTGGGATTAAATGACTCTAATGACCCTTTATATATCACCGCAGCCTCAGTCTGAATTCGCTGTCACAATAGCAAACAGCTGGAGAGATCTACAACACTGTTTCTCTCTCTTTACGTGCCAGCTGCTTTTCTGGAGCATCTTTTTTTAGTTGATGGATCAATTAGTTGATCAGTGATTGTTTTAATAATCATTTAATTGTTTGAGTAAAAAAGTTTTTCAGCAAAAATCCAAAACATTTCCTTATTCCAGCTTTTTCTAATGAGCTTTTCTCAAAACAAGTTACCAGCTTAATTTAGCACAAATTTCTCTTTGTTTGTTTTGTGTCAGGGACGGAGACACTTTCTGTTTCAAATTATTGTAATTCATAAATCAGGTTTTGAAGACCCCCCCCCCCCTTACGTTTTGGGAAAATCCTGTAATGGAAATATCCTACTATTGTTTTGGACATGATTCATCCCTCAAGATAAAATAATCTGCACTTTATTCAGCAGTAAAAGGAATCATTAATTGGAAATGCAGATTCTAGTGTTTCCTTTTAACGCCACGTTGTGGCTCCTGAAAGTGAAAGTTCTTACTTTGTGTTTTTGAATAGTGCTGCGCTGCTCCGAGGTTGAAGTTAAGACAAAGAAAAAAAAAGTTTTAGAAACTCCACATTATTTATATTTGCATAGATAAATTACACCAGCTCCCTTTTATTTATTTGCTATAGTAGGAAACGTTTTCATGCTGTTTCACTAAACAATAGTAGTGGTCACAAAAAGAAGGATCATCTCAAACCACTGGCGTTACATGCCAGGGACACTGGCAGAATAGCAGGGAAATTACGTAATGCGAGGTTGGGTGAGTGAAGGCCGAAGCTGGCCGTCTCTAAACAGGAAGCTGCCTCATTGTGCCTCGAAAGGAGAGGGATATCCTTGAGAAAAACACTGATGAAGTCACTGGTAGGAATTGACACACAAAGGGAAGAGCTGTGACTACAGAGTGACGTGCACATAATTGGCAACTTACTCATTTCCACACTTGTCTTTAATGGAAGATTTTTACAAAAACTGTTTACAGGAGAAAATGTAGCCTCGGCCTTTTACTGAGAGACTAATTCCTCCCTGGTGGTCTTTGGCTTTTGTGGCCTGTAGGTTCAAATTTGAAGCTCTATAAATAGTTATTTTCTTTCTCCGTGCATCAACAAAATCGTTCTTTTTTTAGCTCCAACAGCTCCTCTCTCCGCACCTGCTGGTCTGGGAGCGGTGTTTCTCTCTTCCTCCTGTTGAAGTAAGTGATTTCCAGTTGGTGTGTGAGCGCTGTCGCCCCCTGACTCATCTTGTTCTGTCTTTTCCTCTCTAGCCACGACGCCCACCCAGGAGATAACCAGGTTGAACTGCTCTTCCCTTCACGGGCCTTGTCGGCCAAGTGGCAGTTAACCCCCTGCAGTGACGCAGTGACAAGCTCTCAGCGTGCCGCCTCTGATTAGTTAACACACAAAGACGTGACAGCAGGACTCTCTGCTCTGTCTTTCTCTCCCCCCCCCCCCCCCCCCCCACGGTAGGGATCTGCTCCATCACTGCCTCTTCCCCCTCAGGCCAAAAACAAACTTTTAGCACAGAGAGACCAGTCTGGACCCACCCAGTCGTCTCACTGCTGGGAGGGGGGGGGGGTTTCTGTATTCAGTATGTTCTGTCCGGCACTCCTGGCTCTGGGTGATTTTTTCCTGTGACGTTAATGCGCTTGCAGAAAGGAAGTCAGTCAGTGAGTCCTGCTTTTGTCATGACAGGCCCGCTGTAGATTTACTGCTGTTTGTGCGGAGTATCGTGTTGTCTGCTTTACTTGTCTGGCTGCTGTTTGTCATGTTGATGTTTGAGTAAATAACCTTTTATAGTCTTTATAATAATCTTTTAGGACTGTGGGTGACAGGTCATGCGCCTCTTGTTCCCATGTTGCTTTTTTAAGAGCCCATGTGGGTTTGAATTCTCACACACACACAAACACCTCTCTAAAACCCCCTATCACACACTGAGACCTGTTGCGTTCTGTGTTCTGTGGTGTCACTGGAGGCCCATATCATACAAAATCACACCTCAAAATGTCATTCTCGCCTTTTGCTAACTGCTACAAAAACACACAGCCTCGCTTTTTTAATGTTATTTAACAAAGACAATGGAAAGCATTCACACCTTTTCACTTCAAACAATCAAATCTTCTTGGACTGTATGTAGAGCGTAGATCCAGGGTGTGCTTCAGTTCAGATACTGTGCTAACTGCTCAGCAGAGTTTATAAGGGAATTTGTAAAGAAGGAACATTTAGGATGAGGCGTCAGATGCATGCAGTTTGCATTATGGGAAGTATTTGTTTTCTTGCGGAGAGTTTGATGAGAACATTGATACTGGAAACAGTAGAAAACAATAAAAAATCAGCCCACCAGCACCTCTACATGTTTAAAATGTCTTTAAAAGTTTATTTTATCTGCACAAGAAGAAAAAAGTGTAGAAACATTTATTTGCTGTTTTATGGGCTGCTGGTTAGTCAGGCTTTAGAGTCCCTGGGGGGAAATTGTTTTTCACAGTATTGTACATCACAGCGAAGATCAGCATTGCACTTCACACACACACACACACATCGTCACACAACAATGACAGAAGTATACAAAGAGCAACACAACAGCGGCAAGCAGAAAACAACATGTGCAGATCCCTCTGTGCTGCAGGGCTGCTACAGCTGCAAGTACCAGGCTTTTGCTGAGGCGAGCCCCTCTTGCACCTCGGGGGACCTGAGCCTGCGTCCAGAGGGCAGTACAGTGAAGCGGCGGTGGAGTGTTTGCAAGGCTCAGATTATTTATTAACCAGGAGCAGTGACTTCGTAGGGTCTCGTTTTTTTTTTCTATGGATTGAACAAACAAGATTTAATGTGTTAACAAGAGACTGCAATTTTTAGAAGA